CGTATGAGGCGCTCGCACACGAGGAGAGGAGATTAGCATAATTACCACCAAAAAAACACCATATAAGGCTATGTTTCCTGCCCCACATACCAGGAAGTATTCATGCATAAATGACATCACATAATTAAAAAGAAGAACTTTACGAGTTCAGATTTGAAGTCCGTCTGTCAGAGATCCAGAAAAGAAAATCTGTCATTTTTAGCAGGTCAGCTGTGGATAAAAAAGAGCTGCTAAAAGTATAAACAACTGTGTTAAATCATTTTCATTTATTCAGAAGCCGCAGCGCTTCTCAGAACCGTGGCTTTCGGCCACGGTTCTGATTTCCCACAATGCTTTGTGTCTGCTTACGTAGCAGGAAGGCAATAGCAAAAACAGTTAACGTTTGTAATCCATACCAAAACTTTATATGTATTAATTTATTTTATTTTACAATAGGAGCTCCTTTAAAAAAAGTTTAAACGCTGGAGCTCAATACTAAATCGGCCAACGGTGTTAGAGACTCAGAAATGATTTATAGATGTTATGCTGGATAAGACTGATATTCATTTGTCAACTGTAGCAACTACATGGAAAATGTCCTAATGAGTCTCAGTAATCCAGACAGAAAAAAGAAAGAATAAGTAGGTCCTCTGGATGGTTCTTCTTTAGTGAAACGTTTCGTCTCTCCTCCAAGAGACTTCTTCAGTCTGAGTTTCAGGTGAACTGGAAAACTTTAAAATCCAAGCTCTTATTTTGAAGGGAAGATAGTTTCCTGAACTCCGTGCTTTCGTTTCCCATCACAAATCAAATCCGTCATGTACCCAGAATGCATCACTTCAGTTTTCCAATAAACAGTTTTACAATTACTTTATTGATGCTTCTTTAATGAAAAATTTACAATAAACAAAAGAAAAAGATAAAGAAGCAGCCAAACTAGCAATCCTCAACAAATTTTTAATTTTTACACCAGGAGCTAAAGTTCTGTTTCAGGAAATCACATCCCCAGCGATCTGTGGTTGTAAATTGAGCTGTACAAGGGTTTGTACATTGCTAGATGGCAAAGTTGTGCATATATTGTACATGAATGGTTGCCAATTAGTAACAATCAAATTGAACTTGCGCTTTAAAATTAGCTTCTGCTTATATTTCAGTGGCATAAGTGCTTTTGAAGGTGCAGACCTAAATATTGTCATAAGTGCTTCAGAAATTGCGGAGCTAATTTTTGACTTAGCGCTGTCCACCACTGATCAGATCACATTACAGCAGGTTAAGAACTTTACAGAAAAGGCAGGTTTAGCTCAACTTATCAAATCCAAGACCCGACAACAAAATGAAGTTTATTGGTAACACGACAGGTCCTTCATAATTCCAAGAACTTACAGACCTCTACAAACGCTGGAGAGAATTCAACTGGAAATGTGTCATTAGTTCTATTTCATCCCTACTGACTGCCAGCACGTGAAGAGTAAACAACTACAAGTACAACCATCTTGTTGGAGAGGATGTGACAGTGTTGATGCTCATCACTCATCTTTTCTG